GAGGAGTCCAAACAGAAAGCAGACTTCACTATAGCTAAAGAGAGCAGGATAACATAAGGGAAAACACAGGATGTTAAAATTGTCTGTGTTTCAGTATGTTTACTGCCGTTAAATATACTCCGATTAACATTATTGCAGAGGTTCAAAATGGGGCTGACTAGCAATAAATAAATGGTAATTTAATGAGTAACAGAATGTTCCACAAACTCTACAAAATAAGGCTGTAATTCCATTAAGAGAACTCTTGTGTCATAAGCCAGGTCAGCGAAGCTCAAGTGATTTGTCAATGTCCTCAGAACCCGGAGGTGGACTTGCAACTTTAATTTATGAGTATCTCAGGGATTTATAACTGAAAAATCTGTGGCACCCCTGAAATCCATAGAAGGTGCTGAGATGCTACAGAGTAAATCATTACTGTTTACACTTCTAAAAGGTAGTAGTGTTGTTGAAAAGCAATAAAGGCAGAACTCCATTAGTGTTGTTTAGAGAAGTATTTTTAGCATAAAGCTACCTGCAGCCATTTTAAAGCCTGATTTCTCATTCATGCACTGCACCAGCCTGAACGGCAGGTGACTTGATGCCTGTGGTAAGAGGCAAGAAATTCAGAGATATTCCTGGTGCCAACTTAATAAAATCACATTTCAGCTGAAGAATGAAGTTTATTTTTTGTTGCTTGCTGTTGGATTAAGCTAGTTCTCCTTAGAGGCCAGCAGCTTCAAGTGTGGAACTGCTCAGCTCATGAATCAGTTCACAGAGCTAAAAGTGCCCAGAAACCTTGTATCTTTAAACTTTTTCATGACTTTTAAGTTTAATGACTGTCAGATAGGTTCTAGAAAAACAAAACAAAACAAAACAAAGCACCAGATTCCTTATTTTCCACTTTCACATGGAGAAATACATAAGGAGTGACTTGCCAAGTTGGCATAATTGTCGAGATGGAATTTCCTTACAAACTGTGAGTTAAACCTCTGGAAGAGAGTGCCTCAGTGAAAGATCTTTCAAAATACGATAAAGCCTAACAAACCTGACCTTCTCATGTAAAATAAAACCTGCTTGATGGGGTTAGTTCTCATTATATCCCACATTTTCCTCTCAGCCAAGACACCATGTGCCAACAAAACCACTGCTCAGTCATATTAATATACCAATTTCAAAAGCTTCCCAGTATGGGAAAGCTTTGCCAGGGCACTCTTGTTCTGTACTGTTTGAATGAAGGACTGTGTTTCTAGGAGAATATAGTATAACAATGAGTGCATTTTTAAGTTAAGGGATGAACTTCAGAACACTTTACTACAAGGATACTAAAATCAAAATATTGTACCTAGAATCAAAGAATAGCCTGAGTTGGAAGGGACCCACAAGGATCATTGAGTCCTACCTCTGGCTCCACACAGGAGTACCTAAAAATTAAATCATGTTTCTGAGAGCAATGTCCAAACGCTCCTTCAACTCTGTCAGGCTCAGTGCCAGGACCACTGCCCTGGGGAGCCTGTCCCAGTGCCCGACCACCCTCTGGGTGCAGAACCTTTCCCCAACACCCGGCCTGACCCTCCCCTGTCCCAGCTCCATGCCATTCCCTCGGGTCCTGTCGCTGTCCCCAGAGAGCAGAGCTCAGCGCCTGCCCCTCCGCTCCCCTCGTGAGGGAGCTGCAGGCCGCCATGAGGCCTCCCCTCAGCCTGCTCTGCTCAGGGCTGAACAAACCAAGGGACCTCAGCTGCTCCTCGTATGTCTTCCTTTCTGGACCCTTCACCATATTTGTAGCCCTCCTTTGGATGCTCTCTAATAGTTTTATGTCCTTTTTATACTGTAGTGCCCAAAACTGCACACAGTGCTCACGGTGAGGCTGCACTAGTGCAGTGCAGAGAGCAGAGCAGGACAATCCCTTCCTTCAGCTGGCTAGTCACGCTGCCCCTGATTCACCCAGGACACATCTGGCCCTTCTGGCTGCCAGGGCACACTGGTGACTCATGTTCAACTTGCTGTTGACCAGAAGCCCCAGATCCCTTTCTCTGGGACTGCTCTCCAGCCTCTCACCCCCCAGTCTGTACCTATAGCCAGGGTTGCCCCATCGCAGGTGCAGAATCCAGCACTTGCTCTTGTTGAGCTTCATATGGTTGGCAATTACCCAGCTCTATAATTTGTCAAGATCTCTCTGCAAGGCCTCTCCAACCTCAACAGAGTCAACAGCTCCGGTACTCAGGTACTGTTGCATGGGTAGTAATAGCTTGATAAAAACCTCAGTCAAAGAAAGAAACTAGGAAAACCCTGAAAATAATATATAAACTTTCCATTATGAAAGTTCTGTCAGGACTAAAAACACTGCATCTGGCACAATGCTAGAATCAACAGAAGATACATATGTTAACTAGTAATACCCACATTACGGTGTAGGGCTTTCTGGTAAGGAGACAATAAAGAACTTTTCCTGTTGCAAATACATACTTTGAAAACACATGAAAAGTGTGATATAGATAAAATACAGACATTCCCCCCAAATGAAACACAGACCAAATCAAAGCCTATCCAGTTCAGTATCCCATTTCCTACATATGGGAAAGAAAATTAAATGACTCCATGAAGAAGGAGACCACAGTATGTAAGACTAGAATCAGCTGTGTACCTAGACTGTTATGACTCCCAAATCTCCCATCTGGACTAAGCTCAGGAAAATCTGTTCTCTGAGGAGAATAAATGACCAATTTATTATTTATGGGGTGACAGCAGAGAACTAAGATAGCTCAGAAGCTAATGGAAGAAGTGTGAGTATTCAAAAGCTCATGTTGGTTTCTGAGTCATAGCAGAGTGAAATATGGTGCAAGAAGAACCTAAGCTCACATACCAATATTCAGGTAAGGACCTAACTGCAATGAGAATTCAGAAATTTGCAACTTCTGAGCCAAATCCCTTCACAGAGGAAAAAACAGCTGTGCTTCTTTCCTTACCTGTTACGGTAAGAGGGAGAACTGTACAATGCCATGCTACATTAGACTGCATTGCACTTGAACGCTATACAAAAAGCATCCAATGATGCCTAAGTGCTATTTGTAGGGGAAGTGAGGAAAATAATCCATGTCCATAAACAGTAATACAGGACTTATGTTCTAATTTCCCCCAAATACACTGAAGATTGTTGTCTCCATGCAGGTTATCTCAACAGCCTTAGGAAGAGAAAGGGGAGTTGATCTTTCAAAAGAGCCATTCTCTTTACTTTCTTCCCAAATTTAGCATTTTTCACATTGTTTTCCACCAAACTGCTGAAATCTACTGTTAGACACTTAGAGAAAGCAATATCACAACTGATCCAACACTACCCTGACCAGGTATGCCTGAACTCCCTGGAAGAGAGCAATTTGGAATGGGGTCTGATTTGGCTTCTATCAGCCAGTCCATCCAGTACATTCTGAAAAATTGCTGAAGTCAACGTTTTAGCTTTCTACAGAAAAACAGCAGCTAAGGCAGTACTAGGGAAAAGGAAAGGTTATGAGAGACCAGACAGATCTTAAAGCCTGACCTAACAGTCTTCCCGCAGCTAAGTCAGGGAAGAAGCAGGACTATTAAAAAACCATCAAAGTCCTGATTTCCATATAATGCCCAAAATCTGAAGAAATGAAAATAAATACAATCTGAGATAAATGTGGCAGACATGAAAACCTGCTTCCTGCTGAGGCAAAGCTTGGTTGGTGTCTACCATATTGACCACCTGAGTACTACCCTGTGTTATTTTATTTTTAGGATCTGAAAACAAAATAGGCAAGATCTTTTCTGTTTTCATGGCAAGACAGCAGCCTACTGACACAGCTGACACACAGAGCACACGTATACGGGGATATGCCCTTGAAGATCTAATTTATGTTGATAGTCACTGTTGCTGGTTCAAATTTAGTCTTTATTTGTCATTTTCAATTGTTCCTAAATCACAAGTAAGCATTAAAAGGTGTATGAATAACATGACCTAACATGTTTTCCTCTATTCCTGCCCTTCTTGATTCATGAAGCACCAAGGCAAATGAGTAATAACATTCCTATTTTCAGCCAGATTTAAGCATATACTGAAAATTTATCATAGGTTTAAGTGATGTATTGAGTAGGGATGGAACTATTCACATTCTTAAGATTAAGCTTATTTTGAATACTTTCTTGAAGTGGGACTCAATTCTGAAGCTTTAATTTGGGTAACACGCTGCTTGTTATCCCCTTCATAGCTACAAGACTGAGCCCTGCATTTCTATTTATAAAGTCTCTTTGGTAATGTTTCCAGTAAATTAGTGACTAATAGAGCTCCTTAAAGCTGCTGTGTCCTGGATATCGGAGTCTTCAGGATGCAATAGTGCATCACAGAACTACATGTATGAAGGTTACAATGAATGACAGAACTTTTGGATTAGATTGTTTTTTGGCTTATATTGAATCGTTTTAAAAAACAGGCATAGACATAACATCCTCTTTTTTTTTTTCCTTAGAGCTTATGCCAAAAAAAATAGTAAGTTTGCAAATGGATATTAAGCAATGCCAGATATTTTCTGGGTTTGTTTTAACAAATTAACCCTTTGTGTTCTTTTTTGATGTCCAAATAATTGTATTGGAAGCAGATGTTCTACCAAAACCGACATGATCAGAAGACATTATGCTCACTTATTAACATACTGTTTAATATTCACTACAACCTGTTTTAAAGAACAACAATGTGTTAACATTTAAGCCAGGAGGGATTTCTGTACACTATATAGTACTTGATGCAGCTTGTTTATGCAACAGTCTGACAGATACAATTAATCTCATGAAAACGACCAGAGTATAGCATAATGGCATATCATCTTTAAAGTAATAGAACACACTTTCCCTTTGAAAATCAGAACTTAATTGAATCCCGTAAGTTCAGAATGCAAAGAAAAGCTCTAAAAGAATGAAGTTAATTCTGTGGGATAGTTGAATGAAAAAATGATAGATTTTATACAGAGAATAATAGGACCATCTCCAAATAAGAGTGAAGAAAGAAATACCTCCAACAAATGCATCTCCGGCTCCATTGGTATCCACGATTTCACTCTGATCACTCACCAACACAGGGAAAGTAGTTACTTCATTTGCTATAATGCAAAGAGAGAAAAAAATATCAGCAGCTTACAAATATGACGTAGAAAAGCACAACAAACAGTGAAAAAAATCAAAACTGAAGCTCTGACTCTATAATGCAACATAGTAATTTGGACAAAAACAGATTTGGTTTATAATAATAATAATCTGCAATGCAGTATTTTTGCAGAGGGATATGGGAATACATTTGATCAAGCTATGTGTTGTGGACATTTTCATTAATTACTTTTAGTCTCATTCCTTTTCTTTATCTCCTAATATTAAGGGCAAGAGAAAAGAACTAAACTGGGAGGAACAACATAAAACACATGGGCATATGGACAAGACTAAGAAAAGCTCATCCTGCCAAAAACAGTGCTTCTTATTAGTTGCAGAGAGGTGATATAGTCTCCAGAATAGCCAGTCTGAGCCTCCAAAAGTTCCAAAGAAATTGCTATATTGCAAAAAACAAAACACATGCGAACTAGCTAAAGTAAAACTGTGAAACGAAGAGCAGGAACTACTGTATATCAGACTGCTCTCAAATTACATCTTTTTAAAAACGCATATATGCAAGAAGCCTTGCAACTCTCCAGCTGACTAGATTTGGCTTCAGGATTTCAACGACTTCATTCTCTTCCTTATTTCTTTTTAAAAAAGTATGTCCTTCTCTGCAGCTCCCTGCCCTCTACTGGCACTCGTTAAACCTATTGCAATAGGTGGATACTCAGCATCTTCACCTCAATTCACTGCCACACCACAGTTCAACATAATTACACCACTTAGGTATGATAACTTTAGAGTTCGAGGGTTATAAATTTAATATATGCCACTAATTAATCAGCTATGGCTTTCCAGGTGGTAATGTCATAATGACGTGATAAAAATATAATTACCACCTTGTCACAATACCTTGTTAAAGTGTAAATTACCCCTGTAACAGAGCCAATGGAAGTTCTGCCTCTGGTAGTCAGTATGCATTAAACTGTCTCAGAGCAAACAGATTGTCCTTTGGCAGACAGCAGGAATTAAAAAAAGGGGAGGGGGAAGAAAAGCCTGTCAACCAGTGAAAATGAAAACCATCAGAGCTGTCATCCTTTAATTTTTAGTAAAAATAGAAATAAAACGGGAAATAGATCCTCCAGCAGCTAAAAGCTGGAGACAAGTAGCTTCTTCACTGTCCAGCAACAGAGCAGATCATAAAAATCGCTCTCACATTGACATACACAGTAGCAAACAAGGAAACCTAGTTTGGGAAGCATATAAAGAATTCACAGTCTCAAATCAGGCAAGTCTGTGTATGCTGCAGAGGTACCAGAAGGATCCTGGTTTCTGTGAAATGCAGTGTATCAGCTCTACTGCTCTTCACCATCTGCTACTAAGTGAACCAGGCAGATATAATGATGCTGCCTCCAGAGGGAACTGTTGGCTGGCCCACCAGGAGGGGAGGGGAGGGGAGCATTAGCAACAACCATCCATGAGAGGCAAAGGAAAAAGGGTAATGAAAACCATAAGATGAATATTCCAATTAAAGAACAGGTTTCAGTCAGTTCTCAGTGCATCCTGCTCTCTGGACTGTTAAGAAAGCTACTTAGAAATCTACTGTATTGTACTCTTAAGATAGCCTTCAAAAGTGATATTTTTTAGTAATTTTAACAGGATTCATTTGAATTGGAAATCAAGAAAGAGAGGTCTTATATTAAACTTTACCAGGAGAGCAGAGTGTATTCATCCATTTCATGAGGAGGTATATATGATTGGCTCTAGATAATGCTAAAACAACGAACAAAGTGATAAATCTGTTGAAGACACTTTGTAATAAACTAACCTGCTTGGGAACACACAGATGTTCTACATTAAATACATAGCAGACACTTGCATATGCATACAAATGCATGTGTTTGGGCATAGAGAATGAACAATGCACGGGCATTATATTTTGACTGCTGTAAATGCGTCTTGGCATCAAACAAGACTCTCTGTTTAAGAAAACTTCCACAGATGAAAGTTCACACTATCATCTTTCTCCTCTCTTTTCCTCCTCTGTCTTGACTCCTTCACTCAGCTCCCTCTAGTACATTCAGGTGAGTATTGCACTGTGAGCTCTTATTTTACTCTTTTTGCAGTGGATGTAATTGTAAGTAACTGAATTGGTCTAAAAACCCAAACATGTCAATGACTTCTGTTGATATGAAAGTAATCTTTTTTTCTGCCCTGTCTGCCATCTCTACCTGGACCACACATTCCATCTCCCTTTTTCTATAACATTACCTATTTCAAGAGAGGTAATAATCTTATATTTTGAAATACTGAAGTTTCAGAAGCAGCTGACATGGCTTTGGAGCACATAATACATGATAAAGGTATTACCACCTGCACATATTGCACACATCCAAGAGAGTAAATTATCTTTCTTTAACCTTATGAGAACTTCTACTAGCATAGTAGAGTCTACTGTAAGCTAACAATAGTTAGCATATGGAAAGATAGAACAAATACTGAGTTTTTTTCTTTGCTTCACAATAAATGAAGTCACTTAGAATTAAGGCTGCCATTAATTTACCTTGCAATGTCTGTGTAATAGGATAAAAATAGCTAGCATCTTTCACTGATCTGTGTCTTGTAACAACTAGGCACAACAGGGTGAATTAAGATGAAGCACAAGTCTCCATTCTGAATATCCTTGCTTTTGTGACTTTAATGTTACTTTAACTTCATTTCTGTATGTGATCTATTATTTTGTAAAACGCTCAAATCCATCATAGTAAACATAGAGACACCTTGGCTAAGTGCATTGGTCATCAGTGGCCTTGCATCTCTAAGTCAGTTCTGATTTCATTTATCATTCTGAGAGCTTATGAAATAAAGAGTAATTACATAAGTGTTTTGAAATCCAAGTGCTGCTCCTCTGGGCATAAAATCCAATGTTCTATTTTTAAGCAACAAATATCTTCTCTGGTAAACACACTCAGATACAACACATTCCAGTTTGGTATCGTTTGCTGAAAGCCCAGAATGGGAAGTGTAAATTGCAAAAGGGTGTGTATAATTAGGGAAGTTTTAGTAACAAGCATTAATGAAATCTTAAATCTTGTGACTTTGATTCAGCTCCCTCACTGACTTTACACTGCTGAGGAGCTCAGCGGCTTTAGAATGATTTGGAAATAATCAAAAGTTGATGTACTAAATTCATAGGCTGAAGAAAATATTCACTGATAAATCAGAAGGAATCATCTCACTGGTAAATTTAGTTATTGCTAATTTTCTGCATTATTTACGTAAAGATGTGAAATCTATCTTTGTTTTCCTCAGGCAAAAATATGCACTAGCATATCTGGCTTAAGACATTTTTTTAGGTAAAACAATCTGGAGAGATGATAATTGGGGAACATCGCTAACCGAAAAGCAGTGCTCCCACCATCCTGGTACATTTAACCTCCCAGCTGAACACAAACCTTTTTCATGATGTTAACTGAAACAATCGGATTCTGATGATAACTGCAAATACTACAGGTCTGTCTTTAAACCAAATTAGAATCACAGACTACACGTCTACTCTTAGTACAGTAATAAACACCAGCAAGCAATCATTACATCCAATTAGGCTGAGTACTTTCCTTAACTGGGTCATTTACCAGTCTCTCTTGCTCTTAAAAGTAGATTAAATGTGTAAACTTACATTTAATTACCTGTAACAGAACTCTTATGGGCAACATGTTAGAGTGTCCATAATTTTATATTAAAATAAAAGTAAGAAGGGAGTCCTAAAATATATACAAAAATGTCTAGTTATTTCCTCAAATAAGCTTTTGATCCAAGGGCTGATAGTAGGAGTACAGATGCTTACAAGATGGAGACACATTCATGTTTCTTTTGTAAGCTTTAACTTGTAAAAAAGAAAAGGAACAACTGTGAAACAGAATGCTGTCCCATCTCCTTTCCACCCCCATCCTCTCTCATTTTCTTTAGATCGGGGGCCAAAAACAGATAAAAAGGAAAAAAAAAAAAAAAAAAAAAAGGACAGGAAGAACTTAACAGAACATAGAAACCTAAGCTCAAAACCTATAAATGTCTCTGGACAGCTATAAGGTAAGAAGTAATGAGAAAAGAATTTGGAACAAACCCATGTCAGTCTGGCCGATTCTGAGCTCTTACCTCGCTCCAGAAGGTAAAACCAGAAGCCCACAGGCTCTAAGCCTCTGCACCTTCTTCAGCACATTAAATGCATCTTTTAAAATTAGCAGCATAATATTTTCTCCTGTTTCTTTTTCTACAGTAGAAACTACAACTGCCGTTGCTTTATTTCACTTAGAGATACCACACTTGATATGTAAATCAAATAGACACTGTAATTCTCCCATGACTATCAGCACAGCTCTGTCCACCGTAGTACATGTAAGTCAACATGGGCTAGGGTGCTGGGCACTGAACCCCTACCTAGAAATCCTTACAATGTCCAGCAGTGATGTGTTTCAAACCTGGCCGTGTTGATTCAACCTGTCACTTCCAGGCAAACAGAATGAGATCCTGCATTTTCAGGCTGGGACTTTCAGATAGCTGTACTGCATGAGCACTACAGGCCCCCTGGCACTTTCTGTGTGCCGGGTAAGTTTGCCTTGTTTTGCATGCCAGCATCTCCCTCTCCTCCATCTATTTCTGTGCATTGTTCTGCCTGGTGCTGTAGCTGTGAAGGGCTTGTCAGAAAAATAAGGAATTTGTTTGTGCAAGTCAATGGAGTTAAATACTATAACAAGAAAAATGTACGTCAGCCTCATGCTTTCAGATCTTTCTAATCAAATATTCTAATAATACACTATGAATGATTCAAATTAATTATTCAAAATAAATATTCAAATAAATTCAGTATGTAGCCAAGAAAACTTTATAACAAGGAATAGTGAAGAAGTTAGGCCTTTTCTGCTATTATGAACAACGTTACTCAAAACGAGTCATAGAGTAATTGTCATTTATAAAGCATTTATATGTATATGGTATGATAAAATCAATATAAATA